ACATTTTATGGTTAGTACAATGTGTAGGACATTCGAATAATGCCAAAATTAGCTACAATTACTGTTTTAAATATTGTTTAAATTGTCCCAGAACAGATAATTTCTGCACAAATATTTTGGAGGGATAAATAACCTGTACTTCAGAACTAACATGCAATGTGACTTTATTTGTTTTGAATCAGAAGGACAGTGTGAGAAGATATTTTTCAGTATGTTCTTAGTCTGCATATCATCCTTCTTTGATCTGTGAGTGAAACAATAACTGCTTCCACATCTCTATTCCACATAGCTGACAACTACATTATAAAATGCACGAAAGTCATAGCAAGCATTACCCACAACACATCTGTCATTTCATTATCTAATGCTAAGACAAGTGCATGAGGTGCACTTTGCTAGATTTCAGACATTGTAAATAATTGAATTTTGTGTAAAGTTTTTCATGGAATATTCAGGGGTGAAGTGAGATCTGAAATTACATAGCGTGAAAACACCGCCAGGGTCCTGAGAGAACATCCTGTGCTCACACTGGTCTCCCACTGTGGGTGGGCCCCCGACGCTGGCAGTGCCCATTAGACCCTGGAGTCTGGGGTCAGAGCACACATGTGGGGTCCTTGTTTCATTTGGGTTGGATCACAGGTTGTGTGAGTAAAAAGAAAAGGCAAAGAAAAATACTGAATGAACCAAAATGAAGGATTTCCAAAGGCATTTATGTATACTAGAGGAAATGAAAATGCTTTAGGTGACGGGCCTGCCAGATAGCTCAGCAGATTAGGCAGGCACAGGGACCACAACTTCTGTCCCCCACATACAGTGCTGGACCCACCCCCAGTGTGCACTGAGACTGCGATTGAGACTGGGTGTGGTGGCACACGCCTATAATCCCAGTGCTTGGGAGGCTGAAAGCAGGAGGACGAGTATGATCTGTGTAGCTAGACCCTGTAGACCCTATACTAAATACATGCATTTAAAAAATGCTTTAGGTAAAATGTAATTAGTTCAGTAAGGCACCCTCTTCCTCACTCATCCTAGACAGTTGCCATACCAAGCTGTTTTGTTACCCAAAAGATGCTCATTGCAAAACAAATGCACGGCATACCTAAATAAATTCATGGATATATTAAAACTATATAAGGTGGCTATATGAATATTAATAATCTGGGCAAATCAGAAACTTGTAACCTCATTGTCTGTTTAGTCACACACCTTGAGCAAGGTGTTCCAGAGAATTCAACAGTCAGCTCTTTAGTATTTTAAGTTACAATTGTCTAATTACAGAATTGCTATAAATTATGCTGCTGTACATAGAATGCTTAATCAATTCTTATTATCAGTAACATTCTCTTCAATAATGAAATTATTACTTTAATTGACTCAAAAAGTAATGAATGGGGCCGGTGAGATAGCTCAGTGAACTAAAGCAGCTGCTTAGGTAAGTGCAGGGACTGATTTGTTCTCAGCCTGGAGCAGCTGTAGGGAGGCAGACCCCAGCCACTCTGCACCTCTTAAGAATAAGGTACATTTTTAAGTCATGTTTTAAAACTCAGAACAGTGTAAAATTTTTCTCATGTGACACAGTGACCCTTTTACCTGGAAATGGGTGCAGCATTTCCTTTTAACATGCAAGAGTCTTCTTTAATCTGTGATTTTTGGTTACATGTACTTTAATTGAGTTATAAGTCAGCTAAATAGTCACCATTTTAAAAATGAATTTAGGGCAGGGTGTACAGGGTCTGCAGGGTGTAGACTCATAGTGGTCCTCCTGTTTTCAGCCTCCCAAGTGCTAGGATTAGAGGCGTGCACAACTATGCCCAGTTTCAATCGCCCACTCAATGTGCCTTGGGGGGGGGGGGCGGCACAGGCACCCTGGGATCCAACCCCAGCCCCTGTGTTCTGCCAAAGCAGATGCTTTAGTCAACTAAGCTATCTGACTGGCCCCTACCATATGGTTTTTAAGTGAATTAGGCAGAAACATTCAGCTGATTTTTTTTTAATTTATAGTCATAAAGGTAATGAATCCACTTCTAGTACTTTGAAAAGCCAGCCGAGATTTTCAGCATCTCACACACGTTAGCAAGGTAGAGTCACTGGTTTTTTGAGCCTGGAAGCACCATAGGGGCCCCCAGCAGCAAGCCCACACCATCAGGTGTGCCCAGGTCACGGCTACCAGTCATCTGGAAGCCTTCGTGTCAGACCTCATGATTCAGCCTAATGCACCGCTCACCCACATGTCTCTCACTCTTTTGTTTAATATAGGGACTTGAGCAATTGCATCTGGTGCTTTAGGAGGGAAGAGGAAAGCTGGCTCACTCAGGCTGTTTGCCTGGTGCTGATTTTCCCATTACAAATGTTGCTTTGCTAAATGCGAAGGAGACACCCGGTCTGTATCTTTAGAGGGTGGACGGTGAAAATTTCCTACAGCAAGCTTGTCTTCATTTCTCATGGCTGAGAACTAACACAGAGCATATCCCTAAGATGTGGTCATGATTCAGAGGAAAAGAAAGGGGAAGCAACAAGCCAGATGTAGTCGCAGAAGGAATACTGAATGAAAGATACACATGTTGATTATTTTGGTATTTAGTTATGTTAAATTAATTACAGCATCTTTATAATGTTATTTAATTACATTGTAAATTATACTATTTTTATTTGTTCAGTGAGGGTTAAAATGTCCACTTAATGCATGCTGTGAACGTGGAAAGGGGATACTGAGTCCCAGTCGCCACTGATCCTGTGTGTCTGTTCATCTGAGCAACAGGATCTAAAGCACAGTGACCAGGCTGAGAGGCCTAAGTGACTCTGCGCCAGGCACTCAGACAAGTTCCTCCGAAGATCATTCTACTGCTCCAAGCTGCAGATCAGGACCTGCAGAAGGATTTTGCTGTGCCTTCTGGCAGTGTCTTCCACGGTTTATACTGCCTCCTGGACATGGGGAAACAATTCTGGCTAAATCCCTGCCAAGAAAGGAACATGGCGGCAAACAAAGGATTTAAAAAATAAACAGTGAAAAGAACCAAAGCATTAATCTCCAGACATGGTATTTTAAAATACAATCTTAGAGATGATCCTTTAATTTCATACCTTTGTTTCTAGAACGTGCCTAAATAACTACTTCTGAAAGATAAAATCATGAATGTACACAGTTCTTTTTTTCTTTGTGAAATCAGGATTTTCTTTAAAAGTGTCAAGTATATTACTTCAAAATGATTTTTCTTGTATAAAACTTTGCCAACAAATGATAAGAATTGTAACCTGAACAGTGTCATCCCTAATTTTTCTTTTACATCTCTCATTTTATATTTCTGCCAAAATATCTCTTAGGGATGTGAGGGATATAGTTGAGTGGCACAGAACTTGCCTGGCAAGTGCAAGTTTGTGAGTTCAGCTCTTGATACAAAAAGAAGGAAGAGGAGGAATTAATATCAAAAGTATATTTCTGAAGAGAGGCTTTCAGATTTTTATTGGGATCATTCCCAGATGCAATAGAATCATCTTCTTACAACACAAAACAAAAATGAAGAAATTGATAGTTTCAAACTAAGTAGACTATCTTGGAGAGAATATATATATGAACTTCAGACAATAAATATGTCCAAATGACAAGATAAAATATCATTTTACTCCAAAATTTTCCAGTATGCTTCTGAAAGTCCCATATTTTTATTATTGAATCAAAACTTGCTTGATTTTGAAACATGTACAAATTGTTCCCCTTTATTTTTCAAAAATTGAAATGCTTTATAAAAAAATAAGCAAACAGTAATAAGTACATTTAAAGCCTTAAATACAATTACTTGTATTGAAATTTTAAACTGAAAGAAAAATAAATTAACAATTGAAGAAAGTGAGCTAAGGTGAAGATTTAGTAATGTTTGGAGCATCTAGAACTAGTGTGCATTCCCGATCAGAGTCTAAAATTCGACAGCTATCTAAGCGGGTTGCTGGGAAGTTCATCAGACTTCCACTAAGGGAAGCAAAAGGTCACACCAAGGAGGTGGGTAGCAGCTTTGCTTTTCCAGTTCCCAGTGAGCAGCACACAGACGTGCCACCATGAAGTTACGGGCTTCAGACAAGTTGTATTCCTGTAGAGAACACTGCCCGGCAGCACAGAGGAGCTATCGGAGGACCGTGACGTGTGCAGAAGATTTTACATCCTATTGCGCATGCACAAGAGAAGTCAAGACTCTAAAATGATGTGATTTAATTTTACATCACTATGTAGTAAGACTAAGGCGAACCGAAGAATGGGTAGGGAGGTCCGATCAGTGGTTGTGACCCATGGGAATTTTCAGTAGCAAAAGGCAGGGGAGACCTTTTGAAGAGACAGAAGTTACATTTTGATAATACTTGTGAATTTCAGTTAAAACTGGTTGAAGAGAAACCCTAGCTCTAAACCTGCCAAGAGAAACACTCTCCATCCACCACAGTCAGAAAGATCTGCAGCCCAAAGCCAGCTGAGCACAAATTCTGTCCTGATTTACAGCAAATAACAATAGTTAATTCTCGAAATTGCACTGTACCACATTTGTTAAATGGAACGGCATTGTATGAACAACACAGATATTTTTTGCTAAGGATTTGTGATAGCAGATTTTTATAAAAAAAAAATTTTCACTTGGTAATGAAAGCACAGTAAATAGTTTCAAAGTATGGAGATTCATTCACAATGAGAAGTGAAAGAAAAAAGAAAGATGCACTTGAAAAAGCTTCTTGTGGGTAATCATTTTTTTTCTTAATGTACTTAGTATAGGGTCTACAGGGTTTCACTACCCAGATTGGACTCATAGTGATCCTCCTGTTTGTAGCCTCCTAAGCGCTGGGATTACAGGCACTCACCACCACGCCGATTGTCAGTCTCTGTCTCCTTCTCAGGGCACCCGGGGGGTGGGGTGAGCCCTGCAAGTGGGGGATCAACCCCCACCACACCCCCAAGCGTCTGGCTGGCCCATTGTAGGTAATTCGTATGGAAGCCTTTAGTGTTGGAGCAAATATACATGCTGTCAGTCACCTCTTAAGGCAGCACCCTTCCTTAGACACTTCCACAGGGCTCCCTTAACCTCACTGCTCCGCAGACTGTAGATCACGGGGTTCAGCATGGGGGTGAAGATCGTATAGAAGGCTGACACCACCTTATCGTGGGTGGCTGACCTGTAGGATGTGGGTCTCATGTACACAAAAATGGCAGCCCCATAAATGAGACTGACCACCGCCAAATGGGAAGAACAGGTGGCAAAGGCCTTCTTGCGGGCTTCTGTGGAGCGCATGCGCAGGACAGCAGCGAGAATGAGGCTGTAGGATGTCAGGATGAGGGAGAAGGGGATGAGGAGCATCAGCACGCAGCAGACGTACATGAAGTACTCAAAGGCTGACGTGTCACCGCAGGACATACGCACGAGCACGGGGGCCTCACAGAAGAAGTGATCAATCTCAAGCCTGTTGCAGAAAGGAAAGCTGAGAGTGACAGCAGCCTGCATGAGCCCATCAGCTGCCCCCAGGGACCAGGAACCCAAAGCCATTCTCAGACACAACTGCCAGCTCATGAGGGTGGCATATCGCAGCGGGTGGCACACAGCCACATAGCGGTCATAGGACATGGCTGCCAGGAGGAAGCTCTCCCCACCACCCACTGTCAGAAAGAAGAATATCTGTAGCCCACATCCAACGAGGGACACTGACTTCCTTCCAGACACATAGCCATCCGCCATCTTGGGCACTGTGGTGCAGACCAGCATGAGGTCCGTGAGCGAGAGCTGGCTCAGCAGGAAGTACATGGGCGTGTGCAGCCGGGGGTCCTGGAGGATGAGGAGAACCATCAGGGCATTGCCTGTAATGGAGGCGAACATAACTGCTAGGACAACCCCAAAGAGAAACTGGTGGGCTGTGGTGTGGTTGAAGAGCCCTAGGAGGATGAAATCCGAGGTGGTGTTCCCAAGGCCCATGAGTTCTAATTGAGGAGACTCTGCCAACAGAAAAGAGATGAAGGATTCCTCATGCACTGCTTCACGTGAAAATTTGGCTTCATTGTCCTCAACCTCAAAAAAGTATTGGTGTCAGCATGGTGAAATGCACATTGCATCTTTCCTGTAAGACTTGCAAAATGTTGTGTCTTGAATCTAGTATTAGCTTTATCTTCCTTTTCTAATATTTTCATCATACATACCTCTCATCTAAAATGCTGCCTACTAATGCTAGTGAGTCCAAATTCTCGGTGAAATGCAGACTGTGTATAAGTTTCACTTCTGCCCTCTGTGACACCAGTATGAATGAGAAGAGAATCATTTAACCATTTTCATTTGCACTGGCCTCATATCTTACATAGCCATTATTCTTAGCACCTTCAATAAATTCATGTTTTAAAGATATAAAACAAGGTTCTCAACAGAGAAAAAGATTTAATTGCTTTGCTTTTTGTAATATTCAACCAGAAAGTTACACTTCCTACTTTAATATGTATAATTCATTTACAAATATTTTATAAGACAATTGAATAATTGCCCTTTTAGCATAAAGTTTTATTCTCAATTTTGCTTATTTTACAAAACAACCTTGTGCTCCGGTATGTTACCAGTCTTTCAGTGCATTCCTCACTGCTTTTTCACGTGGCTGTGGTGAGTTTCCCCAGGTTCATCTTATTTTCAGTTAAACCTGCCATAAGCAGGATCAACCCGTTCTACAATGTGTGCTGAGCCCTCCCGAAAGGCGCCGAGCCCAGCACTGTGGTGCAGCCCCACGAGTGCACGGGTTCGCTTCCCGCACACCACTGTATTCCTGGATGCAGCTTGCAGCTTGTGGGATCTGCCTGCCAACAGACTGAGTAACTAACCAGAAGTCATGAGTTTTGCCATCTTTTGGGGTGCTGAGGGGTTTAGTAACAACCTTAATATTTCCTAATTCATAAATATTTTGCAAATAATAAGGTATTTATTATGTTTGCTTCATTGTTCGTCATTTACGTTGAAGATCGAGAAGGATACAGATACGAATATTTTTGTAAACCAAAATTAAAATTTAATGTGATGTAATTTATCACTTTTAAATATTAAAAAAAGACTCTAACCAAGTAAGAATTTGAGAGCATTCTCTGAGGAGTTTAGATTTAAGAAGTGCACCTTTAAAATACTTTTGACACTTGTGATAAGATGACAGGACACTGTGACGCTCACTCTTATGCAGGCACCTCTGTCTGTGCTCCCTGAGGCCGCTGCTGGCACACGATGCCCGCCACATCTGTGGGAGCCACGGCATGCACTCAGCTCGTGAGCCCCCATCGCATGCCCTTCCTGCCTCCGTTCATCTCCTGATCCCTCCTTTTGGTGAAAGCTTCTCTCCCTGCTTGCTGCCTGCTGTCTTTCCCTTTGCTCTTCACTGTGCCTGGGGTTTCTCATGAAGGAGACCCCGGTGGCACTCCAGCTGTGTGTCTGACCCACTGCCGATAACGCTATGGTCTCACCCAGCCCTTTGCTACAAGTGACTCCAGTTTCTATTTCTTCCTGGTAGAGTACAAACTCAGGATTGCTGCAGGGTACAGAAATGAATATGCAAAGCTCAGTAGCTTTCCAGTACTAATAACGAATGCACTGAGAGAGGAATCTGGGGAAACATGCCCTTCACAGAAGCACAGAGAAAAATTAATTACTTAGGAATTAAGGAAGGAGGGAAAGAAAGGACCTCTAGATTGTAAACTACAGCAGTCTCAAGAAGGAAACCGAACAGGATGTCAGCATATGGAAAGCTGGGCCAGGGAGGTAGCTCAGTGGCATAAGCGCCTGCCTGGCAAGCACCAGGTCTCAAGTTCAGTCCCCTGGTGTTGCAAAAAGAAAGAGAAAATGGAAAGTGATTTTGGCAGGTTTTGAAAAGTGATTTATTTTCTGTGCCAAACTGAAGCTTGTGTTAGCTTTCTTACGTTATCCTGACTCAAACAGACAAATATTCATAATGCTGTCTACAGAACAACTTTTTGTTTAGTGCTTTATATGTGTTAAGTTTTTCAAATAAGAGAAGCTATGTATACTGAACTTGCATGTCTGAGAACTTTAGTTAACTTTACATTCCAAGTTTAATCAATTTCCTTACAAATCACTCAGGGCTATCTTTCTCTAGGGCAAAGAAGTACTGCACTGTGTACATAATTTTAAGCAAAGCATTTACATTTTTGTGATAGTTTAAAGTCACAGGTTTATATGTGTAGTTTGCCTTGGAACATTATTTCACTATAAGAAGAAGAATAAATTCACAACTATGGTTGTTACGAAGAAGAGTTTATTTCTAGTTCCGTACTGAATATCAATGACACGAGCTAAATTTAAAGCGTGTCACTGTTAAGCAGCTTTAGGGCTGATCTTACTGCTCACATACTTGACACTCCTCCCACATCTGATCTTTGTCTTTCAGGTTTCCAACTAAATCTTGTTCCTAATAGGAATGAACTTTTAAAATGATCTTTTATTCATGAAATGAAAATAATGGTTTCCTCATGGAGGTGTTCATATTGTGGGTGCCGAGTGAGACATAAATAACCAAGGAAAATAAGTTCCTGGCTATACAGGAATGTGCAGTAGGAAGAGCAAATTTCATCACTTATTCCAGCAAGCACTGATCCCTACCGTGCAGCTCCTGGCCTGGTGCTTGCTTTTATATGAATTGTATGTACTTAATATTGTGATGTTTGTGCATTGATGTTTTCAGTTCATTTAACCAATTTGCTGCTAAGATTTTCCTATCGCATCTTCATTTTTCTTTACAACTGTAAATAATATTTGCATTAAAAATGACAATAATAGAAAAGCAATATTGACAGAACACAACCAAATTCATAAATTTTCCTGGCATTCATCGATTAAGCAGGATGACTTTCTTATGTACTACTCAGGAAAGCTAATCATATCAATTAGGTAGGTAGAGATACTAAGTCTGCACATGGAAATATAGCCAAGCCTGGAGATGTTTATAAAATTATTTTGATTCTCAGAGTCATACATCAAAAATATTTATAATTTTCTTAGATTTCCCTGAATGCAAGACAATAATAAATGGACACATTCGCTAAGAATAGAAAGATACTGTATATGTGATCTCCACATATAGAAAGTTTCAACAAGATGAGGAGTTAAAACGTCTAACTTCCTTACTATAGCATGAAATATGATTGTCTTCTGGTTCTGTAAGGAGCCACACTGTGAAGGGCGTTTCCAACTCTGAGCTGCTGGGCTGCACATGCTTAGCTTTCTGTTAATGTGCCTGCGCCTGCGAGGCCTGGGAGCCAGCCCATGCACTAGGACGTGGCCCAGGGCAGCACAGGTGGTGGCAGCAGTGTGCTCCTCATCTGCACTTCACACAGCTCACCCCAAACCCATTGCGGATCATGAGTGGAAACGTATTCCAGCAGAAGCACGTAATCCCTGGCTGCACACTCAAGCGACGAAATCAGACTGCGGCACAATGCGGGAAGCCTTCCGTTATTTGCCCCAAGTTAACCACGTGGAAGCTCTTGCCCCTTTTGCAAATGTACCCTGCATTTCCACACAGTGTGCTTTGCACAGCCTGCCTAAGGGAAGCACAAAAATGGCCAACGACATGGACTCCAGAGAACACGATCTGCAAAGCCCCCAAGCCCTCCTAACTTGGTCCTCCTTGTGATCCTAGCTGCCCTAAATTTGGAGGTGAAGTGAACTTCAGCTCTATCATAAAGCCACACAGTACCTATAGGCAGGTGCGTAAGGCCCTGAGCTTAACACGAGCCACTCCAGGAATCACTGTCAAGCTTGCACTCCATGGAGAGGGCCACACACCCAACGTGCATCCACCCCCAAAACCCATCGCTGAAGCTGTTTTCCTCTCCCTGGCCCATGCAAGCACTGTCTGATTTCTTTCTCTATGAAATTCACTACTCTAAGCGCTGCACATCAGTGGAATCATGAAGTGTTGTGTGTGCACGTCAGTTTGCCTGTGTGTGTGACAGTTTTGTCTCACTGAGCATAAAGTCCCCAGAACTCATCCACTCTCCTTTATCAGACCTTGCTTCACTTTTAAGGGTGAATATAATATTCCACTTTTGGTGTTTATTCGCCCATCTACAGACATTTTTGTGACTTCTATTCAATTTACTGATATGTATGAATGTGTTTACAGAGATTAGACTTATTATTTTAATTAGGTAAACCAATAGACATACACAAGTTTCAGCTAATCATATCTTAACTTCTTGCAAAAGAGAGATGTGTGTTTTTAAAGAATTAGGTTCCATAATTCACAAAAAGAAACACATTCTTCAGTGTACAGTTACTACTTTAAATAATTTGTAAACCCATAAGGCATTAGCTCTTCACTTTTCAGTGGAAATGTGGGATTTGTGCTTTATTATCAAATGAAATAAATACATAAAGTGATTAGTATTGTGTGTCTAATTATTCCCCCAGAATCCTTTAAGACTTAGGTAGTTTGACTAAAAATTAGTTGAATGAACTTGTATCTTGGTTACTTTTCCCTCATTGCTGGGACAAAATATCTGACATCCAAAATGAAAGAAAGGGTTTTTTAGCTCACAGTTTGTAGAGGTTTCAGTCCATAATCGGCTGGCTCCAAGGCAGAGCGGCACATGGCAGAGAGCAGCAGTTCATGGTGATGGAAATCAGCACAACAGCAAGAGCATAAAGGGAGGAGCAGTGACAGAGGAACTGTGGGCAGCAGCAGAGGCTGAGGCAAGCTTCTCTCCCTTCCGTGTATTGCACTCAGGCTGTCTATCCCAGATCAGGTGTAGTACTCACACCCATAGTCCCAGCATTGGGTCATGTATTAATAACAAAGCTTGGAAGCTGCCCCATGACTGCATGAGGCTGTGGGGGTAGGACAAACAGACACAAAAACACACAAATATGCTAATAAAATGACATCAGTAATTTCATGATATTTCATGAAGGTGTGGTAGTGCTGAATTATGTGT